TCCCCCCCCGCCATGTCCATTGCGCACACCCTGACAGACTCCGAGTCCTGCCTGCTGAATGGCTTGTTTGCACCTCAGTTGAGTGTCACATTTTCACTTCTGGCCCCCGTTGTAATCTGCTAAAGACCCCAAATGACATGAGATGAGCAGTCGGCTTGGCCGGTCTGCTTGTTTGCACGCTCGCTGTGTCCTGTCACTCTGTGGAGGATGATAGAGGTGGGACCTTACACCTGGACCCTGAGGCCCAGAGCCTGGCAGCTCCTGTAACCCCTTCACTGTGGGCTTTGCTGTGTGCAGGGTGGGTCAGCGCCCCCCATGCCGTGGGTTTGAATTTCTCTCTGCAAGATCCCTGAAGCCCAGCTTTGGGTGAGCCCATTCCCCAGGGCATCCAGGGGTCTGAGAATGGGGTCCCTGAGGAAGATGGCACTGACGTTGGGCACTTTGATGGAGCAGGTGGTCAGGAGAGCAGGCGTCCGTCCATCTGTGTGCACGATGACTCCTCATTCCCCTGGACATCATCACTCCACCCCTGGGGAAGGGCCCCCGTTTCCCAGGCTGGCAGACAAGGGGAGGGGCACCAGCACTGCTGGCCGACCTGGGGTAGCCATCTGCCGGCCTGACCCATGGTCCTGAGGCCTAGTCGGAGGTGAGGGTGAGCAGGGTATGGCCTCTGCCAGGGCCACAGTAGTGGACAGTGTCCCCACTGTCCTGGGGAGCAAAGAGGGCAGAGCCACCAGCGCCCCAGTGTGCCCCTCTTCACAGGACTCAAATTGACCATGGTCAAGAAGATGGCTGTGGCCTGGCGGGCAGTCCTGTAGGCCTTTCACGTTTAGAGTATTTCCTAGGGGAAGAACCAGCCCAGACCCCAGCCCTCAGTGTATAAGATTGCCCTGAGCACAGTGAACCCACAGTGTTAAGGGTGCACTGGGGTGGGATGAGGTTAAAGATACGTGAACCCACAGTCCCATAGAGACTGCAGGAATGTAAGACAGGAAGTGGGGTGAGGTCGTCTGGGGTGGTGAGACAGCCCCCCCAGTCCTGCTCTGAAGAGGAAGATCAGGGTGTGAGGCTGGAGCTGTGGCCCTGACCCTGTGCCATGGTCAAAGCCAGCTCTCCAGTGTCCTCCCATAGTGATCTGGGGCCCATGGTCCACAGTCCACAGCCAGCTCTCCACTGCCCTCCCATAGTGATCTGAGGCCCTCTGACCACAGACCACAGACCACAGCCAGCTCTCCAGGTCCCTCCCATAGTTATCTGGGACGCCCAGGCCACAGCCCACAGCTCGCCCTGGGCACTGCCCAGCGTGCATCCTATGGTGGCCTGTGGAAAGCAGGGTGGTCTTCACTGTCCCGAGCTGAGGACCTGGCCTCTGCACCCATTCCTTCTCAGCCTCCTCGGCCTGGCCCAGCACAGGTTCCCTGGCTGGTCGTCCTGGGGGCCTGCGTTCACATTGTTCCCTGGGGAAGAAGCCCAGGCCCCCTTTCCCGTGCATTGTTCTCCTCGGGGTTCAGGAAGTCATAGAGCAGGGGAGGAAGGCTCTAGAAAAGATCAAAAGCTGTTTCTTGTGGCCGTGTCTGTACACACACACACACCCGTGACTGGAGCTGGAATCGGTTCACATTGTGGGTTCTGATTTCTCCCTGGCCCTGGTGGCAGTGGTGGACCTCGGGCCGCAGGTTGTGGGAAGTGAGATGTTTGTGTCTCGAGCAAGGCAGGCTCAGTGACCGAGTGTGCGTCCTCTTGGCCTGCGTCCGTCTCAGCCCCACTTCCCATGTGTCCACTGTCACTCCAGTGAGTAAGCATTCCTGGAATAGAATCAGCGCCGTCACCAGTACACCTGTCCCATGGGAAGGCCATCCTTGCAGCGCTGGCCTGAAGACAGTGTGGGGTGCTCACGAGAGCGGGGCTCACCACGTCCCCCCACTGGCCCAGCCTCATGCCTGTTTGGGCTGAGGCCCAGCTTTTGGTGTGAAGCGAGAGGTTCATGCTGTGAGCAAGTGGGGGTGCTTATGTGTGAGCAGGAGGAGGCGTATGTACCCCCAAGCTAGGCACCGCGTCCCCTCCTTGTGGGTCCATCTGACTGGGGAGCCGGTCCCCTGCCGGGCAGCGTCTGTGACCTGGACAGGAGAACGTGGTACACGTGTCTGCAGCATATTTTTCATTCTTGTGTGATTTGACTGAACATTTACGGGGCAGGCTGTACGCCATCCAGTCCTTCAAGCCTGCTTGCTTTAACGTCAGTGACCACGCCTACACCGTAGCAGCAGCAGCCCACACCCAGCAGTGACCAGCCTGACACCCATAGGTGGTCAGGACCACCCTCCCGAAGTTTCCTTCATTTACAGTCAGACTTTGCAAAGGTCACGTAAAGCGTGGTTGGTGTTGCCTGAGCTGTCCAGTGCCCCAGAAGTCCTGCAGCTTCCCCCTCCACATCTCATATTCTTCATTCCTGGGGAGGGAGGTCCCACAGTGCCACCCTGTCCACATCTTCTCCCTTTCCAGGGGTGTCTTTTCTGTTTTTATGGGAGTCTCACAGTTCACCCTCTCCACGTCCTCTCCATTTGGAAGCCTCTGAACCCACAGCTGGTTCCCCTCAATTTGATGAGAGGCATTTGGAAGTAACCTGCCTGTGCTCCCCCATCCCACGCTGTTCAGTGGGTCAGTCCAGGTATGCCCACCCCCGTGCCTGGGGAGCTGGGCCCCAAGATGTAGAATGATGGGCTCTTCTGCACCCCAAGAGGTGGTGCACTTGGGCAGTGAGGCTTCACCACGGCTGGGGCAGG